GAGCCTCCCCAGATACCAAAATTCTCACTCAGGTCACTTATATAAAATGGCACATTTGCGAATAACCTAAGCGTATCCTCCCACATACTTTAATCATGTCTGGATAACTTATAATTCATAAAAAAATGCAATGTTATATAAGTAGTTGTTATGCTGTATTACTTAGGAAATAATCACAAGAAAAAATCTGTACATGTTCAGTACAGTCACAATTTTTTTTTTTTTTTTGACAGGCAAAGTGGACAGTGAGAGACAGAAAGGTCTTCCTTTTCTGTTGGTTCACCCTCTAATGGCTGCTGTGGCTGGCGCACTGCAGCCGGCACACCACACTGATCCGAAGCCAGGAGCCAGGTGCTTCTCCTGGTCTCCCATGGGGTGCAGGGCCCAAGCACTTGGGCCATCCTCCACTGCACTCCCGGGCCATAGCAGAGAGCTGGCCTGGAAGAGGGGCAACCAGGACAGAATCTGGCGCCCCGACCAGGACTAGAACCTGGGGTGCCGGCGCTGCAGGAGGAGGATTAGCCTATTGAGCCGTGGCACTGGCCAGTCACAATTTCTTTTTCTGAATATTTTCAATCCTTTGTTTGAATCCGCAGACTTAACTAATACTGGGGGTTATTTTTTATTTTTTTAGATTTATTAATTTATTTGAAAGGCACAGAGACAGAGACAAATAGAGATCTTCCATCTGCTGGCTCAATTCCTCAAATGGCCACAATTACCTGGGCTGGCCAGGCTGACCTGAAGCCAGAAGCCAGAAGCCAGGAGCTTCTTCTGGGTCTCCTACATGGGTGCAGGGGCCCAAGCACTTGGGCTATTTTCCACTGCTTTCCCAAGCACATTAGCAGGGAGCTAGATGGGAAGTAGAGCAGCGGGGACTCAAACCAGTGCCCATATGGGATGCTGGCACCACAGGCAGGGGCTTAACTCGCTATGCCAAAGCGCTGGCCCCCATACTGGTGGTATCTTTTAAAAGTCACAGCTATGGAGGACCAGCTGTCCACTTACGACAACCACAGCTACATGTCAATGCACATATAAAATGGCTGTTTACATATTATATTAGTTTCCTATTGCTATAAAGTCACTATAAACAAATTACTTTAAACCTAGAACAAATATTTTTTCATGGCTCTGGAGATCAAAAATCCAAAATGGGTCTTTGGGTGGAAATCAAGGTGTAGGCAGAGCTGCATTTCTAAAGGCTCCAAGAAAGTCTGTTTCCTTGCCTTTTTTCAGCTCCTAAACTCTGTTGGCTCATAGGCCCTCGTCATCTTCGACATCAACAACAGCTGGTTGAGTTTTTCTCACATCTAATCACTGACATTGACTCTTCTGCTTCCCCTTTCCACACTTCAAAAGACCCTTTGATTAGGTTTGTTAAAATAATCCTGGATAACCTAGTTGTAGGTCATCTGAGTAGCAGACTTAATTTGTATTGGCAACTTGAATTCCCTCTTACCATGTAACACACCATATTCCCACATTTGGAGATTAAGACATGGATACTGCCTTCCATACATATGAATAATTCTCCCTACAAATTTCATGAACCATCATCTATCTTTGAAATTACATGCAAACTACTCACAAGAGAATACTTCAAAAAGTTCATGGAAATGCTATTATTAATAAACTATGCATGGATAAACTATGCAAATTTTTGGCACCAGAATAAACTTATAATTTCATTTTTCCATAAATGTTTACAAGTACCCTGGGATATGCATTATTCTAGAGAACTGTAATCATCCTGATTACTTTGTATCTTGCGTTTATAAACATTTTTCTATGTTGCTATGCATCATTTTTTCATGGTATTTAATAGTAAATCTAGTAGGTTTCCCACAGCTTACTCAAAATTCCTCCTACTATTAGTCATTACACACATATATACACACTCCTTCTTCAGCACTGTATTTAATTCTGGAGACAGCATCTTTCTGCACAGATATTTTATGTTTTAGATTTATTTCACTTAGACTAGATTCCTAAAATTGGAAGGTTTGAATATTTTCATAATACATTTTACATATTGTCAAATTATTTTCCAGAACAGCTCATTTTTTAAAAAAATTAAATAAGGTGAACAAATTACATGTATTTCATAAATACAGATTTAAGAGCATAATAACTTCCCACCCCATCCTCCCTTCTACCCACCCCACAAGAAGAGCTGTTTTAATTTACATTACCATCAGGCTTTATAAGAACACTATCAATGGGCAGTGGTTTTTTTTTCTTCTTAATCTTTGAGGGTACCTTCTGTGTATAGAAAAGATTATTGAAGGTTCAATTAAATTTCTGTCAAAATCATGAAACTTTGTTATTAACTTTTAAATTCAACTTGCAAATCTAGTTATAAATAAATTTTAACAGCAATTGCTTTAAAGAGGACTTTTAAAGTTCTCTTAAACACTTAAAACTGCATTTAGAATAAATTTTATTTCCTTAAGTACTTAATGTTTAATAAGCACAGTATCTCTGAGTACTTCAACTCCTTTAAATCTAATAACTTAAGTATATAAAAACATAGGATTTGATACTTTTTTTTTTATTTGACAGAACTACAGACAGTGAGAGAGAGAGAGAGACAGAGAGAAAGGTCTACCCTCCATTGGTTCACCCCCAAAATGGCTGCTACGGCCGGAGCTGCGCCTATCCGAAGCCAGGAGCCAGGTGCCTCCACTCTGGTCTCCCATGCGGGTGCAGGGGCCCAAGCACTTGGGCCATCCTCCAGTGCCCTCTTGGGCCACAGCAGAGAGCTGGACCGGAAGAGGAGCAACCTGGACTAGAACCTGGCACCCACATGGGATGCCGGCGCCAAAGGCAGTGGATCAACCAAGTGAGCCATAGTACTGGCCCCAGGGTTTTGTATTTTTTTAAATGTCCAGATCTTCACAATCATATTAAGATTCTCATACCTTTTAAGATTAATGTGATAGGTACTCTGCTAGGCCAAATGTTCTTAAACAATTGTAAGAATTTAAAATATACCCATCATTTCTTAGCCTGGTAGTAGCAAATACTACAGCTTGATTCACTAAATCAGTTCTATATTTAAGTTATGTATGTATGTTCTGGGGTTAAAAACTATAACCCTCCAGGGACAGTTATATCATCCCACGCAACTCAAAATTGCCATCCCAGGCAGTAGACTGTCAGTTAGAGCCCTGTATTTGAGGGTTCTCAGATTCAAATTACATTCTTCCATCTGCCACTAACAGTGTTGCTGACTTTCATCACTACTTGGATGGTTTGCATATTGCTGGATACTCTAAGATCATACAATTCCTTCTCCATGTCTCCTAGTTCTGTGACTATGGTTATAGCACTAAAGTGTTGCTAACAGACAGGTTCTTTTTTTTTTTTTTTTTTTTGACAGAGTGGACAGTGAGAGAGACAGAGAGAAAGGTCTTCCTTTTGCCGTTGGTTCACCCTCCAATGGCCGCCGCGGCCGGCGCACAGCGCTGATCTGAAGGCAGGAGCCAGGTGCTTCTCCTGGTCTCCCATGGGGTGCAGGGCCCAAGTACTTATGCCATCCTCCACTGCACTCCTGGGCCACAGCAGAGAGCTGGCCTGGAAGAGGGGCAACCGGGACAGAATCCAGCGCCCCGACCGGGACTAGAACCCGGTGTGCTGGCGCTGCAAGGCGGAGGATTAGCTTAGTGAGCCGTGGCGCTGGCTTAGGTTCTAATTATTTATGTGGCAAAAGAAACAAATGTTTTAAAAATGGATATGTCAGAAATGTGTGGTTCATTAGTCTGATAAATTTAGCAATTGCCATCTCTTACTAGCGCACCTTCAACTGTTAATTTAAAAAAGTAATTCATTCAACAAGGCAGGAAGGTGAAAACTTACATAGCTACCGTTCATTTTGAGGTTGTACCTTTTCAAATATTATTTGTGGGAGTTTGTGGATAATTTTTGTTAACTATATATAGAGCTATTCCTTTTGTCTGACAAATTGAGTATATTAACCTTTTATCTGCTTTACACATATTTTTCAGTTTGTCATGTCTTTAGTAACTACAGTGAATTTTCCTATTTCTACTTCTTAAAATGTCTGTGTAGTCATCAAATAGTGTTCACCAGGACTTTGTCTTGAGTGCTTTTATCTTTCTGCCTGCTCTGCCTCAGTGCTCTCAGCTGATCCCATAAACTATCCTCTGCAGTCAATGAACTACTAAATCTATACATGCAGACCAGACCTTCGCTTTAAACTCCAGACTTCTAAATAAAATATCCAACCCTAATCTCCAGTTACCTCTAAGGTGTGTGGGGTGAGGGTCTAGGAGGGGGCGATACACTTAGCCCACAGGCACCTCAAATAAACATGGCAGATCTCAAAATTAGCCAAACCTGTGCTCTGCTTCCCCTGTCTCAGGAATTGGTACTAACAGCCTCTCAGCTGTCTACACCAGAAACTCGAGTCACACCACTTACCTCTTTCTCTCTCGTCTCCATACCACAAAGCTCCAAAACCTCTTTAGTCTTACTTTTCAACTTCCTCCACCTTATTCTGCTCTAGCCATACAGTCACTGAATTTATTGGTCCTTTACCTTTTTGGACTAAATCATAGTCACCTTTTAAGTATCAGCTGCCTTAGGAAAGCCTAAATTAAATCTCTAGTGTTCTAACCCCATGATATATGCTTTTTTGGCATCTTGTACTTTTTTGCTACTTAGTACAGTTGCAATCTATATGATTATTAATGTATGTTTCTGCTGATAAACTAGATCATAACAGGAGAAACTGTGGCTTCTTTTTTCACTCCTATACACTTAATGCCTAGCACACAGTGCAGTGAACATGACACAGGGTAAGTGCTGAGTGGTTACTTGGCAGGGGGGAACAATGTATGTGTACATGTAGATTTAGGTTTCTATATATGTATATACTTATGGATTTATACTCATATAGGTATATATTTATAAACAAACCCAATCTTTTTTTATACCTCATTTTACTCTTTGCTACATTTTTACTTCAAGTACACATTTCTAAAGGATGCCCTGTACTCTTAGATTTTCTTTTTTTTTTTTTTAAGATTTATTTTATTTATTTGAAAGAGTTACAGAGAGAGGTAGCGACAGAGAGAGTGGTCTTCCAGCTGCTGGTTCACTCCCCTGATGGCCGAATGGCTGCAGCTGCGCCGATCTGAAGCCAGGAGCCAGGAGCCAGGAGCCAGGAGCCAGGAGGTTCTTCAGGTCTCCCACATGGGTACAGGGGCCCAAGGGCTTGGGCCATCCTCCACTGCTTTCACAGGCCACAGCAGAGAGCTGGATCGGAAGAGAGTAGGAGCAGCCGGGACTAAAACCCATCCCATGTGGGATGCCGGTGCTTCAAGCCAGGGCTTTAACCTTTAACCATAGCTCTGGCCCTTACATTTTCTTTAAAAAAAAAAAAGCTTTTTAAAAAAGCTTTATTTATTTAAACGCAGAGTTAGAGAGAGAGGGAGAGACAGAGAGAGAACTTCTGTCAACTGGTTTACTCCCCAAATGGCCACAACAGCTGGAGGTGGGCCTGTCCAAAGCCAGGAGCTTCTTCTGGTCTCTTCCATGGGTGTAGGGGCCCAAGGACTTGGGTCGTCACCTGCTACTTTCCCAGGTGCATTAGCAGGGAGCCTGATCAGAAGTGGAGCAGCCAGGGCTCAAACCTGCACCCATATGGGATGCTGGCACCATAGGCAGCTGCTTTACCCACTACACTACAGTGCCAGCCCCACATTTTCTACCCTGTTCTCTAGTACCCTCATTAAAGTGAACTTTTTTGGGGCTGGCACCGTGGCTCACTTGGTTAATCCTCCACCTGCGGTTCCAGCATCCCATAGGTGTGCTGGGTTCTAGACCCAGTTGTTCCTCTTCCAGTCCAGCTCTCTGCTGTAGCCCCAGAGGGCAGTGGAGGATGGCCCAAGTGCTTGGGCTCCCACACTCGCATGGGAGACCAGGAGGAAGCACCTGGCTCCTGGCTTCGGATCAGTGTAGTTCCGGCTGTAATGGCCATTTGGGGGATGAACCAACGGAAGGAAGACCTCTCTCTCTCTGTGTCTATAACTCTACCTGTCAAATAAAAAAAAATAAAGTGAACTTTTTCTTCTTAAAGATTTATTTTTCTGGAAGAGAGAGAGAGAGAGAGAGAGAGAGAGAGAGAAAGTACCTTCCATCATCTTGTTCACTCCCCATATGTCTATAACAGCCAGGTCTGGGCCAAGCTGAAGCCAGGAACCAGGAACTCCATCCTGGTCTTCCACATGGGCGACAGGGTCTCAAGCACTTGGGCCATCTTCCACTGCCTTCCCACACACATTAGCAGGAAGTTGGATCGGCAATCCAGTGGTGCAGTTAACATGCAGTACTTGCAAAGCAGGAAGCTGGATCAGAAGCAGAGCATCAAGGACCTGAACTGGCACTCCTCTGTGCCACAACGCTGGCCTCTCAAAGTCAATTTCTGAAATACAAATCTGATCAAGCTAATCATTAGTTAAAGATTTTGGAGGCTCATCAACAGAAAAGGTGCAAACAAGGCCTCTTATGGCTTGACCTTTATTCACTTGAGCAGGCTATAGCCTCAACCCAAAAAAAGGGACCAAGGCAACAAATCACAGCAAACTACCTGATGTTCTTAAACAAACAAGATTCTTTTTAACAGTCTTGTTTTCTTATACTCTAGTGACACTATTCTGCTTAAAATGCTTTCTGGCCGGCGCCGCGGCTTACTAGGCTAATCCTCTGCCTTGCGGCGCCGGCACACCGGGTTCTAGTCCTGGTCGGGGCGCCGGATTCTGTCCCGGTTGCCCCTCTTCCAGGCCAGCTCTCTGCTGTGGCCCGGGAGTGCAGTGGAGGATGGCCCAAGTCCTTGGGCCCTGCACCCCATGGGAGACCAGGATAACTACCTGGCTCCTGCCTTTGGATAGGCGCGGTGCGCCGGCCGCGGCAGCCATTGGAGGGTGAACCAACGGCAAAGGAAGACCTTTCTCTCTGTCTCTCTCTCTCTCACTGTCCACTCTGCCTGTCAAAAATAAAAATAAAAATAAATTTTAAAAAATGCTTTCTGTATCCTGTTTCTCCTCTCTTTTCACAACCAAAGTATCTTTTTTTTTTTCTAAAGATTTATTTATGTATTTGAAAGAGTTACACACATAGAGAAGGAGAGGCATAGAGAGAGGTCTTCCATCCACTGGTTCACTCCCTGATTGGCTGAAACTGCGCCAATCTGAAGCCAGGAGCTAGGAGCTTCCTCTAGATCTCCCACACAGGTGTAGGGGCCCAAGGATTTGAGCCACCTTCTACTGCTTTCCCAGGTCATAGCAGAGAGCTGGATAGGAAGTGGAACAGCCAGGACTCAAACTGGCATGCATATGGAATGGCAGCATTGCACACAGCACTGGCCCCCAAAGTATCTTTCAAGACAGAGTTCAATTGCCACCTCCTCCCAAAAAGCTTTTCTGAGCCACTTATTCCTGAGTTAAGTATATTTCCTCTGTATTTATCGCTTTTTAATTGTTTTTATTTGAAAGGCAATGATGGCTGGGGAGAGAGAGAGGAAGTGGGGGGGGGGAGGCAGGGAGAGACTATCTTCCATCCTCTAGTTCACTCCTGAAATGGCCACAACAGGGAGGTCTGGGCCAGGCTGAAGCCAGCAGCCAGGAGCTTATCCTGGTCTTCTACATGGATGGCAGGGACCCAAGCACTTAGGCGATCTTCCTTGACTTCTCAGGTATAGTAGCAGGAAGCCAGTTTGGAAACAGAGTGGCTGAGACTTGAATCTGCACTCTGATTTGGGATGCCAGCATCACAAGCCATGGCTTAGCTTAATTCATTACACCACAATGCTGGCCCCATACTGGAATTTATAAACAAGAAATTATCCTTCTCTCACTGGATATTCGGTTCCTGGCTAATAGGGACTATATATTTTTCATCTCTATTTCAAGTTCTCGTGTAGACTTTGGCAAATAAGTATTAAAACCTATCAAAACATACTTACCTTTTGAGAAATGCTATTCTAACTTCTGGGAAATCTTCCAGTCAATCAGTGAATCTGAAAGTAAATACTTCAGACTGAAAACAACCTAAATGTCCAGTAACAGAAGAATGATACAGTCTGCTAAATGATGCGCAGCACAGCAATTTAGAATGAAGACTGTAAATGATATAATAACAATACAGATGCTTTTCTCAGATGAGAAAAGACAAATATAGGATCACATTTTGATCCTATAGAAGTAGATGCACAGACACTGACTACAAGGGAATGAAAATTTGATGAGTTGTTTGGAATATTCAAAACTTTATGTTTTGGTATATCTTCTCAATTATAATTAGAATAATTTAAGTTAAATCTATACCACTAATAGATGTCATGTATAAATGCATGAGTATATAAATATATATATGCATGTATTTCCTATATGTACAGATACTTCAGTAGAAATGAGTATGTATGGCCTTAGTCTCTACTAAAAAGACACAGGAATTTCTTCTTTTTTTAAAAGATTTATTTATTTATTTGAAAGGCAGAGTTAGAGAGAGGGAGAGGCAGAGGCAGAGAAAGAGATCTTCCATCTGCTGGTTCATTCTCAGATGGCCACAATGGCCAGGGCTGGACTGGGCTGAAGCCAGGAGCTTCACCTGGCTCTCCCATGTGAGTGGCAGGGGTCCACATACTTGGATGCTTCTGCTGCTTTCCTAGCTGCATCAGCAGGGAACTGGATTGGAAGTGGAGTGTCCAGAACTCAAAACAGTGCCCATATGGGAAGCCAGCACTGCAGGCAGTGGCTTAACCCACTGTGCCATAGTGACCAGCCCCAAATAGGACTTCTTAGAGAAAAGACTAATTCCAAGGCTGAGGCAGAATAAGATAAACATGGAACATCTTATGATAACCAGAAAAAAAGTGATAAAAAATTCTTTTGGATGCAGACATATTATAGAGACACAGGAGGCCAGACTGAAGGGCCTTCCACTAGCTAAATCTAAGACACTCTGAACAAAGTAATTAAATACACACTTAAATATTAAGAGGTTGGGCAGGATTTGGCCTATCAGTCAAGATGCCACTTAACACATCTGCGTGCCCTATCAAAATACCTGGATTTGATACCTGGCTCCAGCTCCCAATTCCAGCTTCTTGCTATTACAGACCCTGGAAGGCAGCAGGTAATAATTCAAGTGATTGGCTCTTTGTTACCCACGTGAGAGACCTGGATTGAGTTTGGTTACTGGCTTCAGCCTGGCTCAGTCCAAGCCATTGTGGTATCTGTAGAATGAACTAGCAGATAGGAGCCCTTTCTCTCTCTTGAATGAGTAATATTTAAAAAAAAAAAAAAAAAAGAAGAAGAAGAAAATATTGAGAGGTGAAGGAACATGATGTAATTTACCCTCAAGTGATTCAGGAAAAAAAAAACTACTTAAAAATAAACAAAGAGGGGCCAGTGTTGTGGCACAGCAAGTTAAGCTGAGACCTGCCACACCAGCATCAGTTCAGGTTCCCAGTTGCTCTACTTCCAACCCAGCTCCCTGCTAATCTGCCTAGGAAGGCAGCACAAGACACCTGGAACTCCATCTGGGTCTCCTGCCTTTGTGGCCATTTGAGGAGTGAACCAGCAGATGCAAGATCTTTCTGTCCCTGCCACTCTCTTGGCAATTCAACCTTTCAAATAAATAAACTTTAAAAAAAACGCACACACATATAACTGTTGACAGAGGGAAGGCAAATGAGAATCAACAAATACAGAAATGAAAATACACTGGGGCTAGCGTTGTGGCATAGCAGGTATAGCTGTTGCCTGCAGTGCCAGCATCTCATAAGGACACAGTTTCAAGTCCTGGCTGCTCCACTTCTGATCCAGCTCCCTGCTGATGTGCCTGGGAAAGCAGCAGAGGATGGTCAAGTGCTTGGGTCCCTGCATCCACCTGGCAGACCTGGAGGAACCTACTGGGTCCTGGCTTGGCCTGACCCAGCCCCAGCTTTTACTGCCACTTGGGGAGTGAACTGTCTCTCTCAGTCTCTCTCTCTCTCAACTCTGCCTTTCAAATAGAAAAAAATAAAAGACAAGACAGGAATTCACAAACTCATGCCAATAATAAACTGATAAATCAGAGAGAAGGAAGGATTCTTTGTAGTTGAATGTTGTGGGCCATAATGTAGAGGGAATACTAGATTTGTTCAAGTACTTTAGCAATAATGAATGCTGACTAAGGGGGGAAACTTTTATGAGGAGCACAGCATGATATAACACCAAATGTACCCCTACAAATTGCCTATCAATTGCCATGAAGAGGAAAAAAACAGTAAAATTACACAGTGAAAAATTTAGGCACATACTCATATTAACCAGATGTTCAAAGTGAAGACCAGTGAGAGACAGGTAGGTATCATGTGCTTCGAGATGTAATTCTCAAAAGAAGGAGGCAACATGACCTGTGCAACAGTCCAAGTGAGAATGCATAAGCTCAGTCTAATAATGAGGGGACATCCAATACAAAATGAGGAATGTCGAGGGAGAAGCTGTATGCTTCAAAAATGGAAAGGTCATAAAAGACAAATAAGTGTTCTGGAAATGTTCCAAAGTAAAGGAAGGTAAAGAGGCCTGACAACTAAGTGCAGTCCCTGACTCAAGACTGGATCCTGGAAAAAAAGAGGGGAATGCTATAACAAATAATTTACAAAATAAGAAAATGGATGGCAAACTATTGTTTCAATGTGAACTTATAAAACTGATAGGAAAAACTCTCTCAAGTATTTAGGGATAAAGGGCCAAGATATATATAGGGTAACAAAAAATGGCTCAGCAAAAAAAGTATATAAAATTAAAATACATATATTTGGAGAGAGAACTCACCCTCACACAAGAGCAAACACATAGTACAGATATTCTTTGTACTGTTTTTATTTTTGTAAATTTTAAAATATTTACAATTAAAAATGTTTTTTGTTGTTGTTGAATTAAGTCAACCTAAGAGAAACAAGACCACGAGGAAAATGAAAGGAACTTGAAAACTTAGTAAATTTTACTTAGAAAACTAAGTAAATTACTTTTTTAAATTTTTTAAAGATTTTATTTATTTATTTATTTGAGAGGTAGACAGAGAGACAGAGAGATAGGTCTTCTATGCACCAGTTCACTCCCCAAATGGCCTCATCCCCCAAATGGCTGCAATGGCCAGAGCTGAGCTGATCCAAAGCCAGGAACCACGAGCTTCTTCCAGGTCTCCCACATGGGTGCAGGGGCCCAAGCACTTGGGCCATCTTCTACTGCTGTCCCAGGCCAAGGCAGAGAGCTGGCTTGGAAGAGGAGCAGCCAGGACTAGAACCGGTGCCCATATGGGATGGCAGCGCTGCAGAAGGAAAATTAACCTACTGTGCCACGTCACCAGGCAACCCCTACCCTGGGTAAATTATTTTTAAAAGATTCACTCATGCATAGTGTGTCCAAGTTACTATTCAAAATGTTTTCTTCTTTAAGAGTCTGAATTCTTTCTGGAAAGATACACAGACCTACAGCCTTCTCAGTTTTATCTGAATAAGTTAATATGTTGAAACCAACACTCCATTAGTGGTAGCTTACTCATTAGAAACGGCAGGGAAGCACTAAAATTATAAGACCTTTCTTCTGCACACAACCCATATTTACTATCCATTTGCATTCCAGTTTTCAAAAGTAAAACTTCAGATTTCAAATTATGACTTCAGTTCTACTCTCATGACAAATAAAAGGGAATATATACGGGGTGGGTGGAAAGGGGTGAGGGAGGGATAAGTAACTCTTCCCTGGATTGAAAAAGCAAGTTGAAAACTTGCTCTAATTGAGTACCTAAATGATTATTTCTTTTCATAAAGTACATCACTTTGTGGAAGTACTGAAGTTACAGACAAATAATCATGCTAGATTTTTACCCTGAGTTTAGTAGTCTGAAGTAAAAGCACTTTTTCTTTTTTTTCTTTGAAATTTAACTCAGGAATTTGCACCCCCTTGTGGTCAAAATTCTTAGTTTTCAAAAGGCCGTGTTTTTGAACTGGGTTTTTTTTGTTCAGGCATAGGAACTATATTGATTGATTTTTTTCTCCCATTCTAGCAAATCAGGAAGTTTTAATGAAGGATTTTTTGCTCATTAAATAACATTTTAAATCTTCTAAAAATTACCTCCACAAAAACTTAAGTCTGTGCAAAATGGAGATAATTGCATCCACCCTATGTGTATGAAGGTTCAATGGAAAAATGCATGTACATGCTTAGCACAGTGCTGACACACAGCAGGTACTGGATAAATGTTATTTTTAAATGTTTGTTTATTTTATCCACTTGAAAGACAGAGTGATAGAGATCTTCCATTTGCTGGTTCACTCTGAAAATGCTTCCAACAGGCAGGGCTGGGCCAGGCTGAAGCCAGGAGCAGGAGTGCACTTGAGCCTTCATCTGCTGCCTCCCAGGATGCAACAGATTTTAGAAGGAAGCTGGAGAGAAATCCAGTAGCTGGGACTGGAATCCAGGCACTCCTATATGGGATGTGGCTCCCCAAGTGGCAGCTTAGCCCACTGTGCCACAATACCCACCTAATAAGTGTTACTAGTTATCAGTATCATCACCATCACTTTAGAATTCTTTTGACAGACTATATCTAAAAGTAAAGTAAGTCAAACTAGGTTGCGTTATTTACCTATTCAAAAGATTCTAGTACAATCTTGCAAGCAAATTCCCCAAATACAAGAATACTACTTATCTAGACTCCCCAGCCGATTCTCTCCTCAGGTTTATTATACAGTATACATAATATGTAATTATCTGTTTGTTAGAATGTGTATGGTTTTTACTTTATATGTCTTAGATTGGTTTTTGTAGTTTTTGTTAGTATTCAGAAAAAGCAGTGAAACTATTCCATATCCATATCTTATTCTTATAAAATGGTAAAAATAAATTAGCATATTTATTCATCTGACAGGAATTACTCATATTTGGCAAAAATCATGTCAAGCTGATTTATCATTTAAAGGGGCTCTTGAATAAGACTAACCCTTAAGGGCACTGATTTTTAAAACACTCATTAAAGAAGCCACTTGAAAATATCAGTAATAGCTAATATTTATCAGTATGTCAAGCACAGTTCAAATGCCGTTAGTGTATTAAGCTAATCTACATCCTTATAATAGTCCAATAAGGCATTAATATTGTTCATTTTTACAAAAGGTCAGACAGATAAAATGACTCACCTGAGATGACACAGTAAGTAGCAGAGATGGGATTCAAACCTAGGCAGTTTGGGCTGGAGTCCAGCCATCTAAACAGTGCACAAAAGTACCACAGATATTTAAGACAAATACACTACTTTACCAGGTTGTTTTCTTTGATTATCTCAAATTGGTAAAATCCCTTTCCAAATGCACTTTAATAATGCAAACCATGCCAGCCTTCTCCCATTTTCTTTCTTAGCACTTCAGTCACTTGCATATCCACTGTTTGATTTTTTTATACTCCACCAGTTATGGTTCACCACGGGTTGTGTTGTGATGAAAACTGGAATAAACATAACAATACATCAGAGTTTAAACTGTTGGAGTCTTTTAAAAATCCATTATAATTTAGGATTAAGTAAAAAACAACCAGTCAAAAGTAATCTTTAAATGTGATCACTTAGGAGCAAGAGCAGCTCTCTTTTTTAAATTTCATCTTAACTAGCCTAGTAGCAGGTAGGATACGTCTTCAAAGCAAGTGAATCATTCGATTTTTAAGGGAAAGTGACAATTTTATCATAAACAGGTTTCCCTAGGTCTTGTGCTTCTACTTTACCAATGCTAAGACTTTGGGGCAGGTGGCTTAATCTGAGCCTCAGTTGTCTCTCATTTGTACAATGACACACCAACTTCTCAGGGCTGCTGTGATCAATACACGTGATTAACCCAGCACACAGCCGAGGCACCATAGAGGTTACCGCTTTATGAACGCGTCGCACGACGCAAGCTCGTCTTTGCTGAATTCAGCTCACTTACCCTGCCACTAAAAAAAAATTTTTTTTAAATCACCCTACACGACACCAAACACCGCCCATTCCTATCTCCAGAACTCAGCAGAAACTTTAAGGACGACCCTAAGAGAAGCTGGATTCAAGGAAGGCGCCTTCGCCAGCAGGCAGCCGGGCCAGGGAAGCGGGCGCGGCGGCCGGGCGGGGGCGCGCGCTCGGGCACGCGCACACCGAGGGGCGGGGGACCACGCCTCCCGCCCGTGCGGGTCGGCGCCTGTAGGCGCGCTAGGAGCCGGGCTCCATGGTCTGACAGACGTGGGTTCACCCACGCGCTTTGTACCTGGGTGCCTTGGGGGGAACCATTTGTATCTCAGTCTTGGTTTCCAGATCCTCAAACCGAGAATAACAAGACTTCCTACCTCGTCAGCGTATTGTGCGGCTTCAGTGCGATAGCTCTGGGAGGGGCGTAGGCGTAATACCAGAGCCCTACACGCTGGCGGGGTTGTTTGGGGGTACACCTGTGTCCGTACGCAGGGCCGCAGAGAGGCGTCCCGGGATCTGGAGTTTAGACACTGGCTGTTAAGGGGTTTTTCGTTTTGCCTAAGCTAGACTCTTCTTGGTTTACCTCGAAGAGTGGACTAAATGCCTGTCCCCAGACAGGTATCTGTGGCTTGACACGCCCACTGTCTGAACGTTCACTCTCTGCCTCCGCGGCCGTGCAAACTCGCTGCACGCAGGCGCAAGCAAAGAGGTGCGAGAACTGCGACCGCGGAAAAGGGAGAGCGACGCACAACCGTGATTCTACGCATGCGCAAGGCAAGGGGTTGGGGAGGGTAAAGGTGTGCGCATGCGCAAAACTGTCGGGCCCGTAAGGGGGGGTTTAGAGGCGGTATTGACAGCTGTGGAGGCAGCCCGCGTTCCCGGCATGCCCCGGGGCGGCGGGGTTGGCTCTAACGAATTTGAATGAGGAGCCTCAGCGCTTTCGGCGCCATTTTCGAGTGATGCCTGATCTCATCAATCTAGCGGGAGGGACGGGACAACCTGTCCGAGAGTATAGCGCCATTAGGACTCCGCCAAAAAATCGCTAAAAAATCACCAAAAATTACTTGGAGCAAAGGGCAGTCCATGGTGCTTCGCCAAGGTTGGCGCAGTCGGTAAGAGCTTGAAGAAGTAGCAGGACGGGACGCGGGAGGTGGCAGCGGTGGGACCGGCAGGCGGTGGGGGGTGCCAGGAGTGGGCGCCGAGTCCGCCGTCACTTGACTCGCAGAAAATCCCAGGAGAGAGGGTTGGGGGCAACGTGGGCGTCCTCGAGTGGGCGGCGGCGGGCGGAAAGTGGCGCGAGCGCCGAGCGACGGGGCTGTGGGGGGGAGGGGAGCTGCAGTTTGAGCGGGACGCGGACGCGCTGCGGCGGGGCGGCCGCCGCCCAGCGGATCTGTCAGCAGGACCCCCCGCCCGGGCCGGGGGCTGGGCGCGGCGGGGTCTCGGCCGCCGTCACCGCCTGACAGGAGGGAGGGGACGCGCGCCCTCCCCCCACGTCCCGAACCGAGTCGCCTTTTCTCGCAGTTTTCCCGGCCCGCTGATGGCCGCCTTCTCTTGACAAGAAACTTAAGGTCGACGGAAAATTCAGGACCCAGAGTCCTGGGTGTCTGCGGTCTGTCGCGACCGACAGTGCCCCGGCCCGGCGGCACTCGGACGTTTAGATGGCCGTCTCCTGACGCTAAAGCTTGAGGTGCCCGGGGCCGGAGAGTTTCGCTGCCTTCGCCGCCCTCCCCCTGCGCGCTTCCGTCCCGGTGCGGTCTTTTTAGGTAGGGGTCGGGCTGCCGGCGCCGGGCGCTTCGCTGCCGGGCGAGATGGGGCGGGGGCCGGCGGTTGAGGTTGTCGCGGGCTTTTGGCAAGAATGTTGGACTTAGGCGACTTGCTCGGGATTTTTGTCATTTGCTCTCTCGGCGTTGTCCTTTCCCGGGGGCGGGGGGAGGGGTGTCCGTGGTGAGATGAAAGATGGGGCTTCAAGCTCGCTGTTTCCTTCTCGGAGTCGCAGTTTTCTTAGAAGACTTTTTCCTTCTCCAGTCTTTGAGACATTTGCAAGGGGAAAAAGCGACCTGTGAAACTGTTTTGATGTTTTCCTCCCGAAAAGTCTGTACCCGGACAACTTAACGGTAATTTTGCAATCCCCACCTTTTCTTGGGAACACTCTTGACGCTGGGGCGGAGGGAAGAGGGATGTTATTTGTCTTCTCCTTTGGTGAATTTTTTTTTTTTTGGCCCCTTAGCTGGTGGATTCTATCAAATCTTACTCGATAACTCTTGAACGATATAAGCCAACGACGGTTTTAACTTCAGGTATCACAATATGGATAATGGCCTTTGTAAAAATCGCGCATTAAAGATCTTTTAGATCTTGGATCCTTTTCTGCGCTGAAGGCATCGCTAGATTAACCCTTTACTGGGATGATTTGCGTGTGGGGTGAGCGGCGTTGGCTGCAAATCTTGGAGAGATGGTTTTAGCAGTAGCTGTTCAATTGTTCGCAAAGAGGAATAGCGCTTCCTTGGAACCGCAGAGACACACGCTTTAGGACTGCCTGCCTGCAGGACCCCCCGCCCCCGCCCCGATAGGGTGGAAGGATCGATTGATTTCTTATTTCTTTTGAAGACTGGGGGACCCGCCCTCACTTAGAATCTTTCCGGGAGAAGACCAGGAGAGCGCAAAATGAAGTTTTTCGAATTGTGTCTAACGGAGCTCCCAAAACACCGGACTTTTACCCCCTGATTGGCTGGAAGGAAGCGGGACTGGGGGGTTTGAATGTTGAACGCTAGATTATAATTCTCAACTTTCCGAAAAATTATACTTTTAGTTAGAGAACCACGGAAATAATTACAAAACGTTAAGACGGATAGTTTAAAAGAAAAAGTTGGTGTTTAATAATTTCTTAACTTCCATAAAAGACTTTCGGATAGTTCTGAAATATGTATTAAAACTGGAGAAGTTATTTTCACAAAATTGTATTTCTGCTGGTTGAAATGACAAGACTTTTATATATTTGCCCCTGTTCTTTATTGCCTAAAAACTCAGTAAAGGATTTAGGGATTCTTTTTTCCTGTAATAGAAACTTTTCTCCTTAAACTGCGTGTATTTGTTGGATGCAGGTTACGGGAAAAATGTTTCTTTCATTTTGATGAAAAGAAACTTTAATTTTCTTAATGCTAACAAATGATCTTTTCCACATTTTCAATTAAAATTGGATATATTTTGAAAACTTTTGTATCTAACCTAAAATGTGTAGGTTTTGCTAATTCGTCCATTGCAGTGGACTTGAAACTTGGGTATACAAGACATTTATGTTTCTTAATCTAGGTAATACAACAGGTAAGTGTGTACAGGTGCGTATATGTGACGTTACTTTGGGAGTTAATTATGAAGAAATGTGTACAACAAAATGAATGTGTTGTCATTTACATGATTGGTTTTCAGTTGATTTTGTTTAAAGTTGCTTGAGACAACCGTCAATACATTTTTATTTATTACCAAGCTTGTCATTCCATTTAATTGCATCTTGATAAGATGCGGGTGTGTTTTTCAAAGAAAGGCAGTAAATTCAACAATAAACAGCTGTGAATGCCTTTAAAAATAATTTTTACTTTAATAGAAGTTTATATCCTTTTATGAATAGTTCAAATTTTGAAACTTAGCTTGTATTTTCACATTGGATCAAATACACATTGTTAGAAAATATTCAGATTAAAAGAGCTTTTGACTTTTAAATCTATAGGGTTTTAAATGCAAATTGTTAATAAGTCAGATAACTATGTTTATAAATAATAATATTTTTGTATTGCCTTCAAAGCATGAAATGTGATTTCAGAGCCCATGGTCACTACTTTTTTTCAGAACTATTTATTTTGGATTACCTTGTGAAAATTTCACAAAAGGTGGTAATTAATCTCTATAAAATTTGATTTAATGGAATTGTGCATCTCATTTCTGTTTAAATGTAGTTACACCTAGACTACCAGAAGTAGGAGTTTTGCTTTTTACTTTTTTTTAATTTTATATTTTAATTTTCATTCAAATTGTGACTGAGTTTTTTGAGGGGGGAGGCTTTAAGCTCCATCAGGCTGATTAAATTTAATCATACTTCTTTAATGTATTAGTTTATGGGATTTTTTGGTTTGTTTTGGAGGTGGTAGGTCAAGGATTGCTTTGTTTAATTTGTTTTTAAAAGAAAGGATTTCTTTATTTAAAATACTTAATTTAAAGCATGAGAACACACTAGCACCTAAATAAAATCCACAGCATTCAAAATGTACTCCCTTTTATATAATGCTAGATAACATTATTAGCTTTTAGATTTATGAACATGTGTAGGTATGACTTCCAACAGATGTATATTTTTTAGCTTTTATATACAGTTACCCATATTTCTCAAATAATAATTCTCATTTTTATTTTCTACTCTATTTGTAAAAGTCATTTATTATTCCAGGAAAACAAAGGTGGGGAATAGTATTGCTACAGTAGCTCACCTCTTCTTTCAGTTTTATTTAAGCTAGATTTACATACTATGGAGAAGAAACAAGAGAAGGTATCATTCTTGTAGCAATGCTTCTCATTTTTTTGCCCTTGATAACTATTTTTTTTAAATCCATCTAAAAGGGCAGTATTGGACTCTTTAAAAATGTTATTAATTGTTCTTAGCTGTAGATTTACAGAATATAGCCTCAAGTGTTTATATGTGACACTATATATTTTCTAATCAAATTAATATCATTCTTAGTGTTTATCAAGAACAGCTAAATTTTATGGTGACTTTTGTATTCTGGCTCCCATGTTTCATCAATCTTTGTGTGCCACATTTTTGTTTTGTTTTGTGGAGACTTACACATTTTCATTTCTATTTATTTGTTGATATGTAGTAACTATTCAGAATGTCACAAAATACTTCAGAAATGCTGCTCAGTTGATTGGGTTTACCAAAAAAAAATTCCCAGAGACTCTATTAGATATTTCTTCTGCATAACACATAAGCTTTCTCAAATTAGTTGTAAATATACAGTGTTTTGGAAATTATTCTGTAATAGTCTCTTTTTTAAAAAATATTACTGATATAAAATTAGCTTTTTTTTCTTTTGCTTGTTGAAGCTTAATAATACCCACATTGACTTTTTAACCCCTTTTTAAGAAAAACAGATTATTGATGTGATATCTAGAATACACATCTTGTCATATTAGAATAGATATGTAATTTTTTTAAAAAATTCAGCAAACTTAAAAACATTGTGCTAGGCAACTGATTTTGGCACATAATTAGAACTCAAAGTATGAGTTGGTGAATTTTGTAGCCCCAAATATCATAAGACCAAAGGAAGTCAGTAATAAAAGACCACTTTATTTCAAATAAGTGTTGAAAGTGAGAATAAGCATTTAGAAGTGACAGCATTAAAACCTTAAAATCAGTGTCTTAAGAGTAACAACGTCAGTTTTAGAATACTATATTACTAATGTGTCTTAATTTATTTGACTATTTGCATTACAAATTATGGTATAGATCCTTCATATTAATGTTGCTTTCTGGTAGATAATTTTTTTGCCTTTTTCCCCCCTATATTACAGATGCTTTAGGATTTTTTTCTTTTTGGAGAGGCAAGTTTTGAATATTGGAATTGATACTAAATACACACATATATATCTGAATGTTAGTACTATCAAATTATGTTTCATATACTTTTTTTTAATCTTAAAAAAGAATGTTTGCATTTGAAAGACTGATCACTAAGTATTCTAATCTATTTTGTAATAGATTTGCGATTTGAGTTTACTGTGTGAAGGATTTTGTCTCTTTTTATCATACATACTTGGTTTAGTACATCTTATTTAAATCTAAAGCTCTTTCGTTTCTTATTATCTGATATTTGTTTCCCTACTGTTCAAAAATGTGTGTTGTGTTAAAAACTTAACATTTGGCGTGTGATTATTTTGTTTACTACCATGTACTTCTATGATTTTTACATTTAAGAAACCTTAATTTTCAGAGTGCACAGATGTAGACAACTTTATCTTTTGAGAAAGACTATGTAAAAATGGTTGTAATTTTTAAAAAATATCATGTTATTTGGATTGGTGTTTACGAGTTACATATGATTGTGTGGTTTTCACCATTAATCAACTATTTGGCAGCAAAAGAATAAAGCCTTTTTTGGTTTTCATTCTTTAGCTTTCCAAGCCATTCTTAAATAAAAGTGAAAAACTCATCCAGAGCTTTATAGTGCACATGTAGTACATTTCAACTTTGATAACTTAAGTTTCTTATTTTTATGTAGTTGAATGCCACTGAATCATTAAGATTCAGGAAAGTAAAACAAATGAAAAAGTCATTTATATATACCCACCTACCTCTCACCTGTATTGAGAAATGTTAAAAAAAATTGTCCTGGAGTAGACAATTTATTATTACTTGCAAATATTTTAATTTGTTTAAAAATTTCTAAATTTTAATAATATTACAACTGTAATGTATTAAAATATTTAGAAATGTTGACATTCACTTAGGCTTGGGAAAAGATTCAAATTGAAAATAATGGTAATTTCTGTCATTAAAACTTTAGATAATTTGGGAGAAAAAGGTAGATAAATTTTATCCTAATGTCTTGAGTAGTTTTTAAAGCTGTGGACTTTGAGTTTTAGAAGCATAGGCAATGTTTATTCTTACGAAGTCTCTTTCTACCAGTCTTCTAATGGCTACCTACGTACACACACATAACAGACACCTTCAACCTCTAATAGTTACATACACATATGCACCATGCTCATCTACACTGCTTTGAAAATGAATGCCCTAAAGAGAAATGAAAGCAGAAACATATTAATCTGATTTGTTTGAAGAGGCTTCGGATGATAAAGCATATCACAGGTGTTTCTAATCAAGTGATTTCTATTTTAAAAACAGTATTTTCAAGTTAGTGCTTCTTTGAACGTTGGCAAGTTCGAGGTCATTTTGAAGACCTTACCTTTGTGTTCAGGGATTAACTGTGGAGCTCCAGGAGACAGAAATCTGTTGAGTGTCTTCATACTATAATACATGACATTTTTATTGCAGGTTTTGACCTTTAGGAGAGAGCCAATTCTGGAGAACAACCTAACTTCTTTGACTGAATACTCACAAAACACACGGGAACATGATAGGAGAGGAAGGTATACTAACGAATTTTTTAAAGTATGTAATTTTATGCAGATTAAATTAAGCTGAAACTTTTAGCTGAACTAAAATCAGTCGATAAAGAGTTATTGCTGTTGGAGATCATTCTGTGAAGTGGCCAAAACTCTCTTGTCTTGCTTATTTAATATGGAATTTTTTTAAATATAGTTGATGTTCTCATCATCTTGTATTAGGGCCGACTCCAATTGAATTTATTTGTTCCAAAAGTAAGTAAATAGAGTGAATTTTTCGCTTTTTCCTTAAGGCTGTTAAGGTGTCCTTGTAAAAGAATTAATCACTTCATGTCATAAAATGGAAAGTTTAAATCAAGCGGAATTTGGTGCTTAGCTGTTTGATTGGTAGAGAGGTAGGTAGAGCCTACAAAATTAGATAAGATTAATGAGAATATTAGAGAATTTAAAGTATTCCTGTACTGTCCTAACCAAAAGTGGCATTTTGGTTGAAACTGAAAAACCCACTTTCTTAAGCAGAAACTAGTGTCTTACTCATACTCTGATTAAAATATTTAAGTTGTTCATATCAAAAGTTGCAAACTCTTTAAAAATAAAATTATAGGATATCTATATTTCCAGTGACTTATTGTCTGAACCTTCAAGATACTTTATTACAGAACCATTTTTCTGCCTTATTTATTTTCTTTGATTTTTATTTTTAGTTAAATATTCTAGATAGTATTTAATAAAATTTGTGTTTTCTAAATGATAATCTGGTATGGTAAAAATGAATTTACATAGTGTTGCTTGATTAACTCTTTCATGGTAAAGTATGAACCATAACTTTTAAAGATTATTTTGCTAAATAAAATGAGATTAGCTAAAATACAACACTTTTTTCTTCAAATTTTTTTTTACTTGAAAATTTTTACTTTAAATACATAAGATATAGGGAATTCCAAAGATTTGTCTTCATGAGAAAAGTGTAATCTTGTTTTAAGGGTGGGTGTAATTACCGTCATGGTCACAGAACTGCTTTTAACTTTTAAATATTGTAAATTTTTTTAAAAACATATTCTAAGATGGGTTGAAGAATGTTTGACTGTTGATACCATATATTAAAATACTAAACACAAAATCTGGAATTTTTGTATGTTAGATAATCCAGGAATGTGGATCTAAACAGTTGAAATTAAATGTTAACATTTAATAGAAATCAGAATTGAATATAAGGATGAAATGAGGTACTTTTCTTGTGGTGATATCATACTGTAAGGTGATTGAAATAAATTCAAGGTGTAGTGTATAACTTTCATGTCACAATATTACAGAAAAGCAGCTTAGTTGGAATGGAATGAAAATAAATACAGTTTCCTCCCTCTCACTTAACCAGTATTTTCCAGGCTAAAGATCATTTAGATGGAAAGTGAAAGATATGATTAACTGAGTGTCTGAAAAATAAAATCTGTTCAATTTATCACTTTCAACCCAGATATCTTAGATACACCTTAGTGAGTTAAATGGGGGAAGAGAACATTTAAGTTTTGTATATAAAGATGTAAATCTAGAGTTGTTTCTAATTTAGAAAGTTATGATTTGTGATCTTTGAAGATATCAAAATTTATTGTTTGGACACAAATATTTAGCATCATACCACTGTCTTCTCTATAGTTATGTACTATCCTACAGACTTCTAAAAACTCAGTAAATAATGCATAAAAGAATCAGTATAGGTATTAAAATTTTTCTTAGATTTTGGGAAGTTCTGACAGGGTAAGAAACCTTAACCTAATTAGTAATATTTGTTATTTTAGGAAGCAGGTTAATGAAGGCTTTTACTGATGTGTATGATTGGCTGTCCTTTAAGTACCCTTTGAAAGGCATTTTGTGATGATTGTGACCATTTTAAGTTAGCACATTTGCTAACTTAAAACCTAAACCTTCATAAACCTAAGCCTTCATAATAGTTAATTCTGGCATAATGAGTTCAAGGGAGGGGGCTTATTGTTAATTTTCATCTTTCCTTCTTCAGTGACAGTTTCACACCTCCTTTGTATAATATTTATATTTTTGGCTAAATTTGTTACCAGGGTTAAGTAATATTCATTTTCAGGAAGAAGTATTAATTGTCCCCAAAATACATATATACTGTTACTCTTCTGTCTTTTTTAAATAGTTTTCTTAGGGTAGAAAAGATATTTAGATAAAATAGAACAGAAGTAATCTGACCTCTCCAGAAGGAGAAACTTAAAATTATTCATTATTTGTCAGTGATGTATAATGCTAGTTTATAAGGACAACTTAAATTTTAAGCAGTTTGTCAGCTAAAGCATTTTAATATGGGCTTTATATTTTTACTGAGAATTTGTTAATAGATACAATGAACTTTTAAAATAAAATGTCTTAATGTTTGAAGCACTTTTGTACATCTGTGTTTTGCTTGAACAGCTTTATTTCTATTGTTCAGATAAGACCTAATATATCAGAATTATATTTTCTGGTAAACGTTTTTCAAAAGGCAGTATTTATTTAATGTAAGGGTTTTATGTTTTTATTAAACGTCATTTTGAAGTGGAGTCTTAGCACCACAAACTACACTTTTAATATTTCGTTAACACATATTACTTGCTTTAGTTTTCCTTTCCTTCCCATCTTCCTGGTTAGAGTCCACTTGCAGGAAAAACATGCAACATGTTTCAAATGCAGTTTCTGGGACTGATTAATCTACTGGTTAATAGTTTATTAATCGATTGCTATTTCTAAATGTCCTAATTTAAAATTTTTTTCTTTTTGTTGTTAGTCTTTTCTGTTGTATAGCTTTCATAGTAATATATTCAAAATTACCTTATTATACTCTTCAGAATTATTTTTATTAGTTATATTATTTTTCTCACTGAGCTGCCAAGCAGAAACATCATTTTTTCAATTTTAATAAAAACTAACAGATTGGGATCTTTTACACTTTAATTTTTTAAAAAATCTCAAACCTAACCTTCTTGACTAATATTTACATTTACCAGCCAATTCTAGTCCATTTTTGGGATTTTTTTTTTAACTTAACGCAAAATTTACGGATGTCCAGATTTCCGACTTTCTCTCTTTTTCTAAGTCAAAAATTAAGTTTCTGAAAGAGGAGTTGCATTTCAATGTAAAGTTGTAAGTCAATAAATTAATATTAGCACAACTGTCTGTTTATTATTCCTTGGTACTGTATACTTTATAAATTTAGCTTTGTATTGCAATTTAAAGCAGGTAAGTTGGATGTGGAAATTTTTTTTAGTAGGGATTTTTGTTAAAATTTTCCTGGATAAAATCTTATTTCTTTGCTAATAGTGTCTGAAGTCAAACATATGGTGGTGATTAGATACGTGGTACCTGGGAGGGAGCCAGGCATTTTGTAAGCAAAATATAATTTCATTTCTTGATTGGAGTTTGAACACTTACTTGTTTTTCAGGCAAATAACTAGAGAGGATACTCTGTTAATTCACCCTGGCACTGCTTAAAATTCTTGGAGAATTTAGATAACTGAGCAGTTAAATCCAAACTTAAGGAGCTGAACATAATTACATGTGTCATTAACTTTTTTCTTTAGATATATTATAGGTTCCCTTTCTAATCCAAACACCAATTATGTCTTTTGTCCACCCCACCATTTTTTAAAAAGAGAAAAATCCTTCTCAAACAATTCTATCAGGTAGTGATTTAAAAGACTTTGGTAGTAGGTTGAACTGAACCATTTTTCTCCTCTGTTAGATGTATATGCTTTTCTCAGCTTGCCACTTCAGCAGCAGCAGCAGTGAATAAACAAGTATTACCACGACATCTCTTGTTCTTGTCCCTTACAGCTGGGATAGGGGCTGGGAAATTGCTGCTGCTTATCAGCTATTCTACAGAACTGTATCAGTATGCAGTAATGGTGGCCTAAGGAAATTGTACACCCATCAGTTTTTATAGAACAGGTAGAAGGGGCCTACTTGGGGTCTCCATATACACCGTAAGGGAATATGTTGTTCAACAGAAAGATATTTTCTTCCTAATGCAGGACAAAGAGAACAGTAAATGCTTGTAGTTCTTAGACTTATATTTTACTCTTTACTCTCTGTGTTTAGTTCACTTAATTTTATTAAGTTAATTCCATATCTTAGAATGGAATATTGTCTTCTGAAAGTATGTATGTTTCTTGCTTTTCACTGTTAAACTTGTAGACTGAAAAAATAATAATTACTTGCTGATGCCACAAGTTAATACATTGAGGAAAGAAAAGTTGACTGTGTCCACATAGGAGTGTTTTCACTTTTAGGCCATAATCTGTCCACATTTTCATTTTATAGTCCAATTCAAACCAGATTCTTGTTGATTTTCACTATAACAACCATAAAAATTAGCATCCTATACTAAGTGTTGTAAATAACTAAAAACAAAGCCATCCACAGGTGAAAACTTGTCTTTTTTCTATTAAACTATTTATTGTTTTTATTGTTGCATTTACTACTCCTTATTCAAATTATGTCATGTTACATTCTAAAATCTTTTGAAAATAAGTCCTATAATTTCAAATAATATTGAATGCTTTACAGTGTGAATTAACATCAATAATCATGTTTCTTCTTTTATGTCTAAATAATTCCAATAAGTTACAGTTAACAAGGAAATGAATATTGGATTTTTATTATTGTTCTGATTTCATTTGGAAAATTCTTTATGGGAAACTACCAAAGATGATTTAATATATAAACCTAATAACCCAATTCAAAATAAGACATTTGCAATAACATTCTTTTTAAAAGGTAACCATACTTCCTCCTGATTGTCTCACTCCTAATGTTCTTCTTTATCAATCATAGTAAACTCAGACTATTTAGTTCTCCAGTGATGTTACTGAAAAAGCTTCGCCATAATATGTGCTTAATTATTTGAAATAGAATGAGCCTATGACTTGTTCTGGCATTGTGAAATCAAACGGATTCAAGCATAAATGGAGATTACTTTTTTTTTCTTCTTAATGCTGGATTTTTTAAAAAATATATTGGTGTTGTTTAACAAATAACATATTAATTGCTATTACTATTGTCTACTTGTTTTTGCTAATTAGTGCTTAATGTGTGTCAAGGACCTGTACCAGGAAAACCTAGAATGAAGCAGTTTTCCAGACCTGCCAGTCAAAAAACTCTAGATCTGGAACTCGGAGATTCACCTTTTTTACAAGCTCTTTGAAAGTTTTTTTTTCTTCTTCTTCTTCTTCTTCTCCTTAAAGGAGTACTACTTTTGAACAATACTACTTGAAATGAGGGAGGATTGTTTGCAGTAACAAACCATTTACCTTTCTTGCATTTTCCCTCTCCTAAGTCATCTTGGATCTAAGCTCACTGTCTGGTAGTCTTATCCTTTCTATAATAACAATTCTAAGTATTGATAGTTCCTCAGGCATGTGAGGAAAATCTGTTATCAGAGCTTTATTTTTGTGTAAGTACCAAATTTTAGTCTATCTAGTTTACCAACGTTTGCTCTATATATGATGAAAATAGGAAGAATTTGTCACTTAGGAATTTTTAAAATTTTTATCTAGATAGTAGCTATTTTTCTTAAATACACTTCAAATGTTGGAAAACTATGAAATGGGGAACTCTTCATATGCTGCTTGTATGAACTTTTGGCAGTATCCTAGTACAGTCGCAGATATAATAGGCTCACACCCAACAATTTCATTCTTAGATGATCTAGATAAACTCAGACATCTGTTAAAAAAAGGCTTGTTTATTTTTAATAGGGAAAAGTTGAGAGCAATGCAAATGTTAAGCAACAGGAGAAAGGCATATTGTGACATAGTCAGATGATTTATATAGCTTTTAAAATAAGAACTGTCATGTGTGACTATCCTCCTTCAGTAAACAAAAACAGATTATAGAAAGGTTATATACTGAATAGCATTTATATAAAAGATGTATTTATGATACTATTGATATAAGGCTAGAAAGCAATGAATTTGTAGTAATAGTATAAAAACACTCATACGTTACAAATAACCAAATAGAAGATTGTGATTGTAGCTTAGAAAGGATATGACACGTAGGGGACTTCAATTGTACATGTAATTGTTTCCCTTACAAAGATAAAGCAAGGGTGGCAGAACATTCAAGAGCTGCATTGGAGGGCTAGTTAGGATGTGGCAGTTCATTCTGTTGAGTATTGTTTTAGTTTTTCTGTGGATTTTGAAATTTTTTAAATGTGCTGCCCTTTTTTGTGATCAAGATACTCTGCAGTAAACTATACACTTGAGTGTCCATTAAGAGCCTGGATAGTTTTGTTGTATTCTTTTAATCCTGTTTCAAGTCAAGCTAAAAAGATACCATTTAATTTTTGCTTTTTATTTTTGAAGATGTAATATGTTTCTTGCCTTTGTGTACTGGTTTTTAATCCTTCCTACTCTGTAAGTAATAGACAACCATGGAAACAATTTTTCTTATCACTACTCTTTAATTTACTCTTTGATTGAGACAGCTTCACAACTGCATTTTCTGTTTGTTTTGGCCATAGCTGCATAGTGTATTTTCAGAGATTCCTTTATACATTTTAAACTCCAATTTAAGCTTTGTATATATACTGCATTACAATGGAATTCTTGGAATTGGGCATCATATGGATTTTTTATTTTAAAATTTTGTTTGTGCATAAGTGAGAGAGAGGTACCAATCTCAGTCTGTGATCTTGAAATAACTTAAAATATCTATGATTGCTTGGTGTAGTCCAGAAGCTCAGTGTGCGCCAAATTAAACATTGTATGAGTTTGTTAAATTACATGTTTCACTTTTAAACTTCAAAAAAGTAATTGTAATAGAAAATCAGATTTAAAAAACAAATGATAGGGGCAGGTGTTTGACTCAGCAGTTAAAGATGCTGCTAGCGGGGTAGTGCTGTGGTGTAGTGGGTAAAGCCACTGCCTGCAGTGCCGGCATCCCATATGGGCACCGGTTCTAGTCCCAGCTACTCCACTTACAGTCGACTCTCTGCTGTGGCCTGGGAAAGCAATAGAAGATGGCCCAAGTCCTTGGGCCCCTGCACCCATGTGGGAGACCTGGAAGAAGCTCCTGGCTCCTGGCTTCGGATCGGCATGGCTCCGGCCATTGCAGCCACTTGGGGAGTGAACCAGTGCATGGAAGACTCTATCTCTCTCTCTCTCTCTCTCATCTCTCTCTCTCTCTCTCTCTCTCTCTCTCTCTCATCTCACTGCCTGCCTCTCTTTCTCATCTCTGTGTAACTCTTTAAAGTAATCAAATAAATCTTAAAAAAAAAAAAAAAAAAGATGCTGCTTGGAACACCCATACCCCATAGTGAGCCAGCCAAGGTATGACACCTGGCTTTGCTTCCCATTCCAACTTCATGATAATATGCATCCTGGGAGGCACAAAGTGGTGGTTGAAGTTCTTGGGTCCCTACCACCAATGTGGGAGACTCAGATTGAGTCTCTCTCTTTCTCTCTCCCTCTGTTTTTCTGCCTTTCAAACAAAAAATAAATGATTTAGCAAAAAACTAACATACCAGGCTGAATTATATAAAATGCTGTTGCTGGGTGTTTATAATCTGCAATTGCTCTGTGCTCTACAGGGATCAGAAAACATTTATGTCAACCTCAGTTGAAAATGCTGATTTATATAATGTGATCAAATTCTTAAATCTTTTCTTTTTTGCTAGATTTAATAATGATAAAAATGAAGACAGTAATAAAACGGCCTTCAACCTACATAGCAGTGCTTAACTTGTAAGTATTAAAGTCTTTGTCCAGCTACTCTTGCTATACAAAGTTATTGTTGAGTGTTATATTTGGTTTATTTCCTACTCATCCTAGAATAATTTAGTAGCTTCTCCTTAGCCCCTGACACATTGAGGTCTGATATTAACCCAATTTAGGATACAGTAAATGCCATTGACTTGGTTAAGTTACCTAGTTAGAACAAGGATATAGAGTATTTTCTATCATCTCTTAAGTCTAAGAATCAGAATTTTGGCTCTTTTCCTTCAAAGGAATTTGAATATAAATGATCTTTTTAGCTTCTTTACTAGAGAAATCTTTTTTCAATTAGTTTTTATATGTTCTTAAATTAAGTTTGAGACTCTAGAAACATTTTCCCCTTATTCATTTAACTTGAGAAATGTGTAAATTTTAGCAAAATGATTCTACCAGACTAATGGGAATTAGTGTTACACCCCTGGGAAAGCTCATAGATCATGGTTATGTTAAATGCATGAGGTACTTACTTCCCTGAAAGTGTGTAAGACCCTAAAATCAGTTAGATTCATTTCCATCCATTCCTTGAGCTAATTCTACATCTCTGAAAAAAAAAAAAAACTCACGCGCAACTGTTCCTGTTCTTAATGTTGGGGCATGCTCCTATTTGGACACTACACTTGATCTTAACCAAAAGGCTGAGACACGATAGCATGCTCCTATTTAATAAAAACCAATGTTTCTCATGCTTTCCTTACATTGTCTCACACGTTAGTGAATCAGATAATGTTTATGTATTAGAGGGTAACCTTAGGATCATGGAATATCAGCCCTTATCCTAAGTAGTCTGTTGGGGGAAGAGGAGATCAATTAAATATTGGAAATGTTAATAGTGAGCCACTTTGTAAAGTAATAACCAAATGCCACAGATCACTTTGTTTTTCAGATTTTTTCCCTTGATATTTCTGTTTCTGGAAAATTTAGAATAGAAAAATTTGCAAATCCCTAAAGAATCCTATATAATCCAGATTTTGGCCCCTTAATTGGTTCTTTGGAAGCTAACTCAGCCTTTCTTCAACTCAACCCTTGGAAAAAAAAATCTTTCCAATTGGTGTTGTATTCCTATGTAAACTGGAGAGCAGTTTACTTTTCAGAAAGAAATGTGTCTTTTAACTTTTAACAAGTTTATAAGCACAAATAGCTTTACTTATTCTCAACTTGGCTTCGTCTCTATTATACCTTTTTGAACAGTATTTCTTGGCTATTCTCCAATATCTTGAACATAGACTATTTGCCATATTTTGTAGTTGGAATGTTTTGTTGTCTGTTCTAGGTAGGATGCCTGGGGTTCCCTTTAACTTAGATACTAATATGGAAATGTTTCTGATTAAATAATACCCAGCAAAGTAGATACATAATGAGAATACTAAAAATCCTGTGTGATCTCCCAATCTCTTATTTCTTGTTTATTCAATGCCATTGTTTCTTTAAACTGGGATTTTTTTTTTTTTTTTTTTTTTTTTTTTTTTAAGAAAAGGTTTATTTATTTGAAAGTCAGAGTTACACAGAGAGAAGGAGAAGCAGAGAGAGAGAGGGGTCTTCTATCCTTTGGTTCATTCCCCAGTTGGCCACAGTGGCTGGAGCTGTGCCAATCCAAAACCAGAATCCAAGAGCTTCTTCCAGGTCTCCCACGTGGGTGCAGGGGCCTAAGGGCTTGGCCCATCTTCTACTGCTTTCTCAGGCCGTAACAGAGCTGGATCAGAAGTGGAGCAGCTGGGACTCAAACCATTGCCCATATGGGATGCTGGCATTGTAGGCGGCAGCTTTACCTGCTAGGCCACAGCACCGGCCCCATAGTACATGAATTTTTAAAAAACTATTTTTTTATGGAGTATGGATGTTCTGGATGTTCCAGAGGTGTGGAACTGTCTGGTTCATAAATGCTGTGCTCTTGAAATTAAGTAATGACATTATTTTGGGTTGTATTTTAAAACTTTGGTAGACATGAATTTTTTTTATATTTGTTTTAATTTTAAAGTCTTGAGCTTTTGTTCTGTAACAAAAAATTTAGAAATAGTCATGTCTTTTTTTTTTTTTTTTTTTAAGATGTATTTATTCACTTGTGAGGCAGAGTTACAGAGAGGGCAAGAGAGAGAGCGAAGTCATCCATCTGCTGGTTCACTCCTCAAATGGCCACAGTGGACGGAGCTGAGCCAACCCAAAGCCAGGAGCCAGGAGCTTCTTCCAGGTCTGTCGTGTGGGTGCAAGGGCCCAAGGACTTGGGCCATCTTCTGCTTTCCCAGACCATCAGCAGGGAGCTGGGACTTGAACCAGTGCCCATACGGGATGCCAACACTGGCCTCATGTCTTTCCTTTCCCCCCTCCACTTTTTCTTTTGTGAAGTGTTTTCATTTTTTACTTTGCAGTTTGGATACAAACACTTAACTATATATTTTCATTTTGTGAATTTAAGGTAATTGAATGTATTGTTTGATGTTTAAAAAAATCTTTAGGAACACCATCAGCTGTTGAGAGTATAGTGTCTTTTTAATAATCTACAAAAGGGACTCAAGCAATGACTTTAAATAGAAAAACAAGAGCTGAAGCAGAACTTTACCATTTAGTGCTGGTATTGGTGATCCTGTAAACCAGTGAGATAAATTATTCCTGATTAAGGAGACTTACTAAATTTGCCTGCTATCAAGAACTAAGCTAGTAAAAAGAAATAACAAAAACCATTTGTCATATAGAATTAGTTACCAAAATAAATTTTTAGATATTATCAAATTAGCAGTAAAATAACTGACAGGTAATCATACTAGCCTAGAAAGTGTTTTCAGTTGTTGAATTACAAAATAGTAAAAATAGTAAAATAATATTAAAATAATTTAATAATTATATTTAATAATTAATTAAAATAATAAAATAATGGGGCAGTAAATAATTGATATGGCAGGTTTGCTTTCATTAAATCTGTAATTATATCATGCATTAAACAGCTGAAAATTTTTTATTTTTTGTAATAGAGATTTAGTTATATGTAATTTTTGTCTACCTTTGCCATTCTTGAGGACTTATTAATTATCTTGAATAATTTTTTTTTAAAGATCTGTTTATTTACTAGAGAGGTAGAGGCAGAGAGAAAGATGTCTTCCGTCCACTGGTTCACTCTCCAGATGGCCATAACAGCTGCAGCTGTGCTGATCCGAAGCCAGGAGCTTCTTCCAGGGCCCAAGGACTTGGGCCGTCTTCTGCTGCTTTCCCAGGCCATAACTGAACTGGATTGGAAGTGGAGAGGCTGGTACTCGAACCAGCACCCGTAAGGGATGCTGGCACTGCATGTGGCAGCTTTACCTGCTATGCCACAATGCTGGCCTCCCTTGAATAAAATTTTTTTTTTTTTTTTTTTTGACAGGCAGAGTTAGAGAGAGAGAAAGGTCTTCCTTCCATTGGTTTACCCCCAAAATGGCCGCTACGGCCGACGTGCTGCACCGATCTGAAGCCAGGAGCCAGGTACATCCTCCTGGTCTCCCATGTGGGTGCAGGGCCCAAGCACTTGGGCCATCCTCCCCTGTACTCCCGGGCCACAGCAGAGAGCTGGACTGGAAGAGGAGCAACTGGAACAGAATCCGGCACCAAAACCAGGACTAGAACCCAGGGTGCTGGCGCCGCAGGCAGAGGATTAGCCAAGTGAGCCACGGCGCTGGCTTGAATAATTTTTTAAACAGATCTTTCCGGAGGCAGGAGGGTATGTGCCAAAAGAAAACAAAAGTTGCTTATTTGGCAATTGGATTAGCAGTGGAGGGTGTTAACAGTACAAAGCAGAAAAAATCATGTAAGGGTACCATCTATCGTTAGCATTTGGTGGAGGGAAAAAATAATGGATTATCAACCTATTGATAGGGTGAATTGCTAATAATTTAAGGTTATATTATCCTACACGTTATGAGCAGGGAAAGTTTACAGTATGCTACAGCTGTTTCTCAGTCATTGTTAAAAATAACTGCTATTTTTGAGTATTAGACATTGTTTAATCAAGTGCCGGGTATTTCTAGTCCTCAAAGTCTTAAATATTTGATGTGTGTGTGTGTGTGTGTGTACAGAATGATTGAGTTAAATCTCAGCTTTTATGTTTAAGCCATGGCTGTGTTTCAGCTTTCAACAAAATTGCAGTCATAAAATTTGAGATGTTAAAAATTTTTTGAGTTTTTCTGCCAAAATTTTAGAAAGGAGTTGAATTTACTTTATTTCAAAGATTTTATTTATTTATTTGAAAGGCAGAGTTAGAGACAGAGAACAGTCTTCCATCTGCTGGTTTGTTCCCCAAATAGCCGCAATAGCTAGAGCTGAGCCAGTCCAAAGCCAGGTGCTTCTTCTGGGTCTCCCATGCAAGTGCAGGGGCCCAAGGACTTGGACCGTCCTCTACTGCTGTCCAAGGCTATAACAGAGAGCTGGATCAGAAGAGGAGTGGCCAGGACACGAACTGGCGTCTGTGTGGGATTCCAGCACAACAGGCAGAGGCTTAGCCCACTGTGCCACAGCACTGACCCAGGCTTTATTCTTTTACACCCTAAACAACTTCTCTGCTTCTGCATGAATTCAAAGGATAGAGAATTTACTTATGTTGTTACTTAGGATGTTGACTCAGAAAAATGAAAACACAGACCTGATTTAAGTAGGAAATATCCAGAAGCTTAAAAAAAGAAACTCAATTTGAACACAGAATGGTGATTACTAAAAGCTCAGAGGGGTAAGGAGGGATACTGGGATTTGGATAATGGGCACAAAATTAGAGTTTGATTGAAGGAATGAATTCCTGGTGTTACACAAGGCAGAGAGGGACAGAGAGCTGTCTTCCTTCTGCTTGTTCACTCCCCAGATGGCTGCAGTGGGTAAGACTGAGCCAAGCCAAAGCCAGGCCCTGGAACTCCATTTGTGTCTCCTATTTGCATGGCAGGGAACTAAGTATTTTGGGCCATCTTCTACTGCCTCCTGAGGCACATCCACCAGGAGCTCATTCAGAAAGTAGAGCAGCCAGGAGTCAAACCTGTGTTCATTTGCATTTCAGGCAGTGGTTTAACTGTGCCACAACACTGCTCACAATAAATTAATTTTATAAATGGAAAATAAACATACTAATGTAATGAATTCTGACAAGTATAACAAACCAGTATATAATAAACATACTAATGTAATGAATTCTGACAAATATAACAAACCAGTATGATAGGGATATCAAGGTGTAAGAATAAATACTGGGGCCAGTGCTGTGACGTGCTAGGCCAAACCTCCACCTGTGGGCCACTGGTTCATGTCCCAGCTGCTCCACTTCTGCTCAAGCTATTCTATGGCCTGGGAAAGCAGTGGAAGATGACGCAAGTGCGTGGGCCCCTGCGCCCACATGGGAGACCTGGAAGAAGCTCCTGGCTTCAGATCGTTCCAGCTCTGCCGTTGTGGCCATTTGGGGAGTGAACCAGCAAACAGAAGATCTTTTTCTCTGTTTCTCCCTCCCTCTCTCTCTCTAGCCCTAATTCTCAAATAAATAAAAATCTTTAAATAGAAGAAAAAGAAAAAAATAAATACAACAGATAATGTCCTGCAACTGTTCTGTGTAATCCTGGCCTTAGATACTGCCTATTAGTCTGAAATTGAGTTTTCAAACTTATCTTCAGGTAAACAGAGAAATAAATTGAACACAAAAGTAGAATATATTTTCAGTTGTCAGTGATTACACCAGACTGTTTGCCTTGAATAATCGTTAGTCTCACTGTTCTGTTACATTAAATAAATAAATTATGCTCATTTTTATATTATTCAAAAAAATTTAAAATACTAAATTTTCTCATAGTAAGCTTATTTGTAGTTCATAAAAATGAAGTTTTGATACATTTCATAGTGTGTACTACCAAGAATGTCATTTTTCAAGTACTCTTCCACTTGACAAATTTCAGACCTCATTTTAAAATGTTTAGAGAAATAATAACATCAGATAATACAGAATTTTAATTGTAAAAGTTTTTCAGTTTCTGTATCCTTAATCGGACTATATAGAATATTTATAACCCTGGTGTTTGATGCCATGTAGTCAGAATTTCAAATTGGCAGTTGGCCCTCTAGCTTCTTAACCAGACAACTTAGTAAAGTACACTGAATTTTTCTAAAAAGTTTTATTTTAAATGTATTCATTTTATTTTTGGCCTGAGAATATCCATGTTATAATGATAGTAAATAAACTTTTTCCTTAATATTTATAAGTTGTATTTATGTCAATAAATAATAGACAATAAAATTCTAATAAGAGGGCAGGTTTAAACTTAGTATATACTAGATCTATCATCTAAAAATAATTTCTTTTTTCTAGAGTGAACATAACCAGGGTCCTTCAACTGGTTCTTACAACATGAATTCTAGACCAGTATCCTGGATATTTCCCTTTGGGTCTGCAACATTTTGTAGTATTTCTTTAAAAATATTTTGTATAAAATTGAGCCCATCCTACTTGATGTGACCAAAGAACAAAAGACAGTGCATCTCTTAAGAATAAGGTAATTCTGTAAGGTGGCCTGATTGTGCTTTGAACTAGTACATTGAAACACTTAAGTGTGTCAAAGAGCAAATCCTACTATAAATTTGAATTCAATGAACGTTTATTTAACACTTGTTTACTACTAGATGTGCTCATATATGTTTAAGTCCAAACAACAGGGCTGTGAAGTAGGCTTTAATGGCACCATTTTATAGAGAAGCAATCAGAAGGCCTGTGTGCCGAAATAACCCAAATTAAGGATTCCCAAGGGACAGAGCAAGGACTCTGTCTTAGGTCTTCTGACTTCATATTGGCTGTTCTATGCCATTGCTGCCCCAACAAACTATTCCTGCTGCTTATTATATTAGTAATAAGTTACAAATGCAATAATTGACCAGTGATCCTGCTGCACTCAGGTTGATTTTATGGTTTAGGCAGCATGCCTAGAATTTTTAAATGTTTTTGTTAAATGCAGTAATGTCCTATGTGAACTAGATGCACTGAGATTACAGTACTTGTAAGATACGAAGTAAACCTACCTAAACCAAAATGTTAATGAAAACAAAATTAGAGTTGTAAATCATTTACAAGGGATAAGTCATCATATACACTGTCATTTTACTATATTTTAAATTTAATTCTGTTTTGTTGTTGTTGTTAAAGATTTATTTATTTGAAAGAGTTACACAGAAAAGGAGAGGCAGAGAGAGAGAGAGAGAGGGGTCTTCCATCCGCCAGTTCACTCTCCAATTGGCCGCAAAGGCCGGAGCTGCGCCAATCCAAAGCCAGAAGCCAGGAACTTCTTCCGGGTCTGCCATGTGGGTGCAGGGGCCCAAGGACTTGGGTCATCTTCTTTTATTTAATTGTTTGTTTGTTTGTTTCACAGGTAGTGTTATAGACAGACAGAAAGGTCTTCCTTTCGTTGGTTGTCACCCCCCTCCCCAAATGGCCGCTATGGCCAGAACTGCGCCAATCCAAAGCCAGGAGCCAGGTGCTTCCTCCCGGTCTCCCATGCAAGTGCAAGGGCCCAAGCACTTGGGCCATCCTCCACTGCCTTCCCAGGCCACAGCAGAGAGCTGGATCAGAAGTGGAGCAGAAGTGGGACTTGAACCGGCACCCATCTGGGATGTCAGCACTGCAGGCAGTGGCTTTACCTGCTACGCCACAGCGCTAGTCCCTTAATTCTGTTTTCCAAAGCAGAAAAAAAAGTATTTAAAGATTCTACTCAGATTTGTATACAAGTTAACTTCTTAAGCAAGACATTTAATTTACTTATTTTTGTCTAACCTTTCAAAATATTATTTTCTTAGGAGATCATAAGAATGGAAAGTTGAAATGTAGCAGAAGTCAGTAGAGATGATGAAGGTCCTATAGCCCAGAATATAAACTACCAGACTTGGACCTAGGGCTTGTATAAAGGGTATAAACTGAATGGTTCTATTTTGTTGTTGTTGTTGCTTTCCTTTTTAATGTAGTTCTTTCCTTTTATTCTCCCTAGCCTTTGGGAATTTTTCCTTATCTTTGCTTTAGCTAGCAACCTCAAAAGCAGAAATTTAAGGGATGGAGGCACAAAGATATACAAGAATGGAGAGATGGCATGGGCCATACCAGAAAAAATTGAAGTAAGAATGATTGAAGTAAGAATTCACTGAAGACAGACTGACTTAGTTGTCCTTAAAAATAGTGATTTAGTGTTTTAGCTTCTAGTAGTAGCTTTAGTAAATAGTAAGGTCAGGTAGGCATGTGCAACTCAAGGAATGGGGAAAAAATTGGAAAATCATTTGTTTATAAGCATCTAGGTTCTTCTAGGGGTTTTAAAGAATTACTCAGAGGATAATCATTTTACTGATTTTCATTCCCCTTGCTGCCTACATGGTGACCACTACAGCATCATGCTTGGTCAATCTCTTTTCCACTCAACCTCTGCTTCATTATGCTTCTATAATATATGGAACTTTTTTTTTTTCCTAAATACCTAACTTAGGTCATCCTCCACTGCTTTCCTAGGCCATTAACAAGGAGCAGGATTGGAAGTAGAGCAGCTGGAACTCAAACTAATCCTCATACGGGATGCCCACATTTGAGGCAGTAGCTTAACCCACGAGGCCATAAAACTGGCCTCAAAGACAGTCTTTTTCAACAAATACAGAGAAAAGAATTAGGGTGGACCTTTGGCTTATACCATATATTAAAAAACCTAACGCAAAATCAATGAAAAGCCTAAACATAAGAGCTAGAACTTGAAACATTTAGAAGAAAACATAAGAAAAACCTTTACGACATTGAACTTGACAATTGTTTGTTGGATATGACACAAAAAACATAGGCAACAACAAAAAAATAAACATCAAAATTTAAAACTTTAGTACATGAAAATATACTGTCAATAAAGTGATTAAGGCAGTCTGCAGAATGGGAGAAAATTTTGCAAATCAAATATAAAGAGTACCCATGGAAGATAAAGAACTCAACAAAATAAACAACTTGATAAAAAATGGACAAAACTTGAATAAATATGCCTCCAAAGAAGATAAACAAATGGCCAGTAAACATCAAGACGCTCAGCATCAGTAATCAGTCATTAAGGAGATACAAATCAAAACCTTGAGAAACCCCTTCACTCCTAATAGATGGCCAGTAATCAAGAAAACAAAGTGTTGGCAAGAATGTGTAGAAATTGGTAACCCTTGAAATTGCTGGTGGGAATGTAAAATGATGTAGCCACTGTGGAAGACAGTTCGGCAGTTCCTCAAGAAATTAAAAACAGAATTACCATATGACCCAGCAATAGTTACACCTTGGGGTTTATATGCAAAATATTGAAAGAAGAAGAATCTCAGAAATAATTTCTATGGCATGAAAAGGAAAGAAACTAATACATGCTGTAACATGGATGAATCTTGATAAAATTATGCTAAGTGGAAATAAGACACAGGACAAATAACATCTGATTCCATTTATATGAGGTACTTAGAATAGGTACATTCATCGAGAAAGAATAAGTTTTTCCTGGGACTCAGAGGTAAGGGAGAATGGGCAGTTAGTGTTGAAAGGATACAGGAGCAGCTTTATAAGGTTTAGAAATTTCTGGAGATGAAGGTGATAATGATTGTACAGTAATGGTCTTCCTGCCACAAGAGTATTCACTGAAGCATTGCTAAAATAAATTTTGTGATGTGTATTTAACCACAAAATTTAAAAGTAATAAAACATTCCTGGTGGTGAGAATTTTTCTATTGGCCTACATTGTGGCATAACGGGTTAAGCCTCTGCTTTGTGACACTGGCATCTCTATCACAGTGCCAGTTCAAGTCCTAGCTCCAAATCTAATCCAGCTTCCTACTAATGAACCTGGGAAGGCAGCAGATGATGGCCCAAGCACTTGAGACCCTGCCATCCGTATCAGGGACTTGGGTCAGATTTCTCACTCCTGGCTTTGGCCTGCCCCAGGCCTGACTGCCACCATTTGGGGAATGAACCGGCAGGTAGAAGATCTCTGTCTGAATTCTAAACTTTCAAATAAATAAAACAATTTTCTTAAAAAATTTTTATGAGTTATAAAGAAGGCATTGGCATAAATTAGAATATTCAAGTTTCTTTCAAGTTATTACTCTTGGCTTACTTGCAAATATATGAACTGTGAACAACAAAAGATTGTAATTTAAATGACCCAGTTAATTTTCTTCTAGTCATTCATTTGATTTTGGAATAGTCATTCGATGTTTACATCTGCTGTACAGAGACAGTCTGTGGTCTTGACCAGTTATTATTTAATGATTCTGTATCTTGTGATTTAAATGATCTTAAATTCTAAGAAAAAATTCTGGTACATTGCTGTACCAGCTAGTGTTAAGTGGGACAGTGACTGGCATGTAGTAGCTGTTCAGTAAAATATTAGTTAAATGAAAAGCTACATGATTTCATGTTTGAAAGTGCATTGACTGGCAGGTGCTGCGGCTCACTTGGCTAATCCTCCACCTGCAGCGCCGGCACCCCGGGTTCTAGTCCCAGTTGGGGCACCGGATTCTATCCTGATTGTTCCTCTTCCAGTCCAGCTCTCTGCTGTGGCCCAGGAAGGCAGTGGAGGATGGTGCAGGTCCTAGGGCCCTGCACCAGCATGGGAGACCAGGAGGAAGCTCCTGGCTCCTGGCTCTGGATCAGCGTGGCCATTTGAGGGGTGAACCAACGGAAAAAGGAAGACTTTTCTCTCTCTCTCTCTCTCTCACTCTCACTCTCACTCACTTACTCACTCACTGTCTAACTCTACCTGTCAAAAAAAAGTGCATTGTCTTTTTTGTTAGAAGAGGTTGTTGAGGGGAGCCTAAAAGGACACAGTTTCTAGTGTAACTGATAAATGTATAAATATTTCTCAAATCTTTGCAAACAGATTTATCTTGGTTACCTGTTAAAAAATCATGCAGAGGGCCAGCGCCGTGGCTCAATAGGCTAATCCTTTGCCTGCGGCGCCGGCACACCAGGTTCTAGTCCCGGTCGAGGCACCAGTTCTGTCCTGGTTGCTTCTCTTCCAATCCAGCTCTCTGCTGTGGCCCGGGAGTGCAGTGGAGGATGGCCCAAGTGCTTGGGCCCTGCGCCTGCATAGGAGACCAGGAGAAGCACCTGGCTCCTGGCTTCGGATCAGCACTGTGTGCCGGCCACAGCAGCCATTGGGGGGTGAACCAACGGAAAAGGAAGACCTTTGTCTCTGTCTCTCTCACTGTCCACTCTGCCTGTCAAAAAAAAAAAAAAAAGGCAAAAATATGAGACAGTAATAGAGTAATAGATGAAACATAGATTGCTTAGGGGATTTGCCACAAACATTTAATTGAGGAATACAAAAAAAATTTAATATGCAGTAGTGACATTATAGTTTGTGTAAACAGTTGCTGTTTGATACACCTTCTGAGAATACCAAGTTAACTCATCATTCTAAGACTTCATAGTCTAGAATTACTTGATATTAATATCAATTCGTAATCCAATACTGAGAGTAACTTCTAATATAAAAAATATTGAGAGCTACTATTTGGGTTTATTTTTACAACAAATTAAGGCAGAATTGATTTGTTATATTAAAATATTTTGGGTGATTTCTAGCTTTTGTCTTTTTTAAAAGTATGTTTGTATTTTTGCCAGCTTACATTTATTTGTTTCCTTCTTGACATGTTACTTGATGAAGATGTCTTTTGAAGGGTGTACTTCCAGATGTAAATTCCACTTTTACCAAGGTAAAAAAAATTTTTTCATTGATTCACCTTTTTTGCTCATAGAAAGAAAAAAATTTCACATGTTGAATATATTAAAAAGTTTGGTTAAGCATTTAATTGTATTGCCTTAAGTTGGCTTAGGAGAAAAATACATCTTTGTGTTTTGTAAACTGGACACTGTGCTGGGCACCAACTAAGCTTTTTCTTAGGGTTCTGATTTAAAAATAAATTTTATTCAAAAGTTCCTAAAAACATATCAACATCAGAATTTATAAACATGGGTTTCTTTTAATGTATTTTTCTAAAACTTTTTTGTATTCTTTAGGTGTTAATGTGTATTAACAAAAAAAAAAAAAAACCTTGGAGTAAAGTAGCAGCACATAATGGTTTGTGGAGTTTAAAAAGGTGCAGGCCATATTGTGCTGCCTCAAAAATACAAGGATCTGATCTTCTGAAGAAAATGTTTCTTTTTATTCATAACTCTTACGATACGTAGCAATGTCAGCAGTGCCTTAGCAGCACGTAAATACTGGCGTTAAGATTCTAAAATTATCTCCAGTATTAACTGTGCTGCTGAAGTAAGGTTGGCCATACTCTACAGTTGTATTTTAATATAAATGTTATTGATGTGTTTTCAGTTTTAGTAATAATTAGTTTTCAGTATTCTTAATTTCATGTTTAGCATGATTCTGTAAATATAAGTTAGTACATAATCTTTTCAGATGTATTATGTCTACTAAATTTGAATACCTTTGTCCCCTGATATCCATGGGGGGTTGCTAGGTCCTCCACAAATACCAAGTTCTGTGATGCCTTCATATAAAATAGTGTATTATTTGCATATAACCTATACACAACCTCCCATATATTTTAAGTCATGTCTGTAAATGCTAAGGAAATAGTTGTTATTCCCTATATTGTTTAGGGAATAATGATAAGGGGAAAAGTCTGTACATGTTTAATACAAATGGAGTTTTTTAAAAAACTTTTGATCTGTAGTTAGTTGAATTCATGTATGAGGAACCCAGATACAGAGAACCAGTGGTGATTACAATTTAATAATTGTGTTGAATGTCATCAAGCGATTCCTGAAAGAACTCACGCAGCTTCAGATGAATTTATTTTACTGAGCATGTTTATTCAATGTAAATATTCAGATTTTTTACTTAAGATAGTACATATACTAGTTTTCCCTTTGTTTTAAAATTAAACATTCTTGTGTAACAGATAAAATATATATTTTGTATTTTGAATAGAATTCAGGAAATACTGCTTCATAATGTTTCTAAATATTTCCTTATATCTGAAGGGGAGAATGCATCAAAACATAAGAATTAAATTCTGAGTCTTAAAATGCACATATGGAGCAGGTGTATGGCCCACTAACTAAGATGTCCATGTCACATATCAGACTATCTGGGTTTTATACCAACTTCAGCTCCTGGCTCCAGCTGGGTACCTGGGAGGCAGCAGTTACTGCTCAGTTGTGTTCCTGTCATTCATGTGGGAGATTTGAACTGAGATCCTGACTGCAACCCTACCCAATCCCTGCCGTTGGGTGACATTTGGGAAGTGAACTAGCAGCCTCTCAAATTTTAAAAAATGGGGTTTTTATGATACACTTAATAACAACTGGTTGGATGGAGGGATGGATGGATGGATAGATAGATAAAAAGATATACGTATATAGATATAAGTGTGTATATATAGAATTTATTTATTTAAAGGCAGAGTTACAGAGAAAGACACCCACCATCTGCTGGTTCACTCCTCAGATGCCGCAATGACTGCAGGTAGGCCAGGCAGAAGACAGGAATTTCTTCTGCATCTTCTATGGGGTTCAGGGGCCCAAGGACTTGGGCTATTCTCCATTGCTTTACCAGGAACGTTAGCAGGGAGACAAATTGGAGGTGGAGCAGCTGGGACTTGAACCCAGCACCCATAACGGACACTGGCTCTGTAGGCCATGGCTAAACCCACTGTACTGCAGCTTAATAAGAATTTTAAAGGTATAAAATATCTTACAGAATAACAGTGTAGTCATTGGGTAGTTAAAAAAAAAAAACTCAAAATAATTTGCTACAGATGACAGATTAAGATTGTAATCTTGTGTCTTCAAACTATCATAGTATATGGTTCTCACTTTTTTTTTTTTTTTTTAAGATTTATTTATTTATTTGAAAGTCAGAGTTAGAGAGAGAGAGAGAGAAACAGAGATCTTCCATCTGCTGGTTCATTCCCCCACATGGCTGCAGCTGTCAGGGCTGGGCCAGGCTGATCCACTTGGTCTTCCACATGGGTAGCAGGGGCCCAAGCATGTAGGCCATCCTCAGCTGTCTTCCCGGGCAACCAGCAGGGAGATGGCTTACAAATGGAGCAGCTAAGACTCAAACCAGAGCCCATATGGGATGCTGGTGTTGCAGGCAGGAAACTTAAACCTCTACACCACAGTGCTTGCCCCTCCGCTTTTTTAATTAAATGTCTTAACTCCTTAGCTGAAGACATTTGACAAAGTGAAAATATGAAGATCTTGTTTAGTTTTTTATATATACTATTTAACTTAAGAGTAAGACAGTTATGATGGTAGCTATTAACTTTATAAATACAGTAAAACAATTTAATTGGGAGAAAATACTTTATTTACCTTCTGTTGCTTACATCTGATGTTTATAGTCATTAAATAAAACATTGACATTCAGGATGACTATGTTTGTACAGTGTACCGGAACTGATGTTTTCTACAAGAAATATTTTACTCTTTGGTTTCAAGCAGAAAATCTACAGTATAAAATCAGTTTTTAATATCAATCATAATTGTCTTTTGGAAATCCTATTTCAACTAATTTAAAGATTATATTCAAGGGGTAAAGGATCTTCTGTTTAAATTCAAATTTGAAGGTAAGAAATTATATAAGACAAAAACTCTAACTTTAAAAAAAATTTCACCTTTTTTTATTTTTTTATTTTTTTTTTTTGACAGGCAGAGTGGACAGTGAGAGAGAGAGACAGAGAGAAAGGTCTTCCTTTGCCGTTGGTTCACCCTCCAATGGCCGCCGCTGCAGCCGGCGCACCGTGCTGATCCGATGGCAGGAGCCAGGATCCAGGTGCTTTTCCTGGTCTCCCATGGGGTGCAGGGCCCAAGCACCTGGGCCATCCTCCACTGCACTCCCTGGCCATAGCAGAGAGCTGGCCTGGAAGAGGGGCAACCGGGACAGAATCCGGCGCCCTGACCGGGACTAGAACCCGGTGTGCCGGCGCCGCAAGGTGGAGGATTAGCCTATTGAGCCACGGCGCCGGCTAAATTTCACCTTTTTTACCCACAAATTTTTTCCCCAAAATAAAGAAGCAATACACTATATACAGGGTCTTTTTGAAGTTCATGGAAAAGTGCATGGATTATTTTTTAATTGTGTTCTCCACGAACATTTTGAAATACCCTCACATATGTGGTGGCTAGAATTAAATGCCAGCTCTTACATGTAAATAGTACTGCCTTGGTACTCTTAAGAATTATTCATCACACTCTTAAGCTGTTTCCTTTATTTCCTTTTATCCATTATACAAAAGATTAACAATAGTTTTTGGTTCCATGCCTAGAAATATTTATTGAATGAATTACAGAGTTTGTCCAATATACTGCCCAATATTTTCCAGAACAACCTAGAAGTTGCTTTTTTTTTTTTATATTTGTGTTTCTAAATGTATTAATGTATATTTAGTTTTTCTTTTAAGTTAATCCCAAATAATTCTGGTATTGATCATTTTCAAACTGTTAGTTGGATTGTGAGATGATGGGTTTGGAGCTGAGACGACATCAAGCAAGCATCTAGGAGGTAGTGAGATGAGTTTCAGTCATTCAGCAATTCACTTTGTATCTTGTATTCAAATATAAATCTCTTTTGAGTACACAGATGTGTATGTGATAGCAGATTTGAAAGATTTGCCAAAGACTAAATTCCACATTTAACATTAGAGGTTTTCTTCAATACAGTCTGTATCCTTTTTGTTAGTATAGAGTTAACAGCCACTAAACATTCTTACCAGTAGATGTACAAGTTAGCCATACTTGGATTAGCAAGGCTTTAGTTTCATAATCCATGATTTTCCAGTTAATCTATTTATTTAGAAATTGACATTCTAGATGAAATTAATTTTTTTCCCTTTTGCAGGTGGATATTACTGTTTCTTCCTTGTGGAAAAAGTTTTAATTCTGAGTCTTGTTTTGTCGTTGAATAATATGAAAATGGAATAAAAATACTGCCTTAAAATTTTTTTTTTTTTTAAGATTTATTTATTTGAAAGGCAGAGTTACAGAGAGGCAGAGAGAGAAAGAGGTCTTCCATCTGCTGGTTCACTCCCCAAGTGGCTGCAATGGCCGGAGCTGAGCCAATCCGAAGCTAGGAGCCAGGAGCTTCTTATGGGTCTCCCATGTGGGTGCAGTGGCCCAAGGATTTGGGCCATCTTGTACTGCTTTCCCAGGCCATAGCAGAGAGCTGGATCAGAAGTGGAGCAGCCGGGACTTGAACCGGTGCCCATATGGGATGCTGACAGCGCAGGCACCGGCTTTACCTGCTACACCACAGTGCCAGCCCCTGCCTTAAACTTTTGAAATAGATTTGTCTCTAGAAAGTATTTATATATATCACTTGGATATCTAAGAGAAAGAAGTAAAAGACCATCATCAGTACATTCTCATGTATTAAAAGTTTTTTTTCTCTGTCAAGGGATTTTTTATAACTTCTGTTTTATTACTGTTAGCTTGAGCCTTTTTAATACAGAACTAAATCCTCCATCAGAAATTTAGTAGTTTATGTTCTTACCTTGTTTATTAAGTACGTCCTAGGTGTTTCTAATTGTCTTTGTTTTTTTAAAGATACTTACAAAAAATATGTTGGAAGAATAAATGTTTAAACTTTTTATATTAAAATTGATGTACAAGGTGAGAAGTTAGTTGCTATTTTTTGTCTTTGTTATACTGAAAATTAAATTCACCATTTAATTCCTGTTTGGGCTTATTTCTTGATTATTAATATATAGAATTCATGTAAAAACTTCATAAGTAATGCCCTTAGATATTGATGAGTACAGATCCTCTCTTTAGGACTTTGAGTAACCTGATATTTATTGAATTCTTGTGATTGGATTTTTGTGTTTTGAAGAAATGTAAACTGCCTGAAGAGTGTTGTTATTGTTCATATGTCTCTTATGCTATATGGGTAGATTTCTAGAATTTCTGACCTCCCAAAAAAAAATATAAGCTACCTGTATATTAAATATTCCTCAGTTTGATTGTTGAATGTATTCTGCATATCTTTCATTTATAACTTAAAACTTTATTTTATCTTAGCCTGAGTGATTTAAGTACCCCATAGTTGGCTTATTTCTATATTTTATTTTATTATTTTTTAAAGATTTTTATTTATTTATTTGAAAGTCAGAGCCACACAAAGAGGGAAGAGGCAGAGAGACAGAGAAAGGTCTTCCATCTGATGGCTCACCCCCAGCTGGCTGCAATAGGCGGAGCTGCGCCGATCCGGAGGCAGGAGCTTCTTTTGGGCCTCCCACGCGGTTACAGGGT